ACTACTTTTTCTTTACAATGTTGGAGAAAATTTTTTTTTATAAATTGCAATAATTTTTATTGAAAAAGAATTAATTAAAAAATTTATCTTTGTCATAATAAATTGTATACAATGAAAAGAAAATTGAAAAAGAATTAAAGTAATTGCTCATTACACTTTTTGCTAACAAATATTTGTTACCAAATCGAGAAATCTTTATTGAAAAAAATATTAATTAAAAAAGTAGGTAATTATATTTTTTTAGTAATTGTTATAATAAATTGTGTAGAATGAAAAGAAAATTTAAAAAAATGAAACTAATGTCTTTTTGCAAACAAAACTAAACACTAAACACACTAAACACTTTTTGCAAAAATATTTTGTTTTCAAATTGCAACAATTTTCATTAAAAAAAAAAGAAATACAAAAGTTAATATATTTTTTCAGTCCTTGTTACAATAAGATGTAAACAATAATATAGAAATAAAAAAAAAGTATTGGTAAATTAAAGAAATTTTTTCTATTTTGTTTTTTGAAGAATAATTGGGAGTGTGATTATAAAAGGAAAATTTAATTAATATTAGAAAGAGAATTGATCAGATCTTATATTGTATCATCCGGAAAACTCTTCCGGTCTTGACGTTTGAAGGAGGCCACTTGGTCAACAGGTCCGTTCCGACCGATTCTCAGGATTGCGAGTGAGAACACATCGAACCGGTTCGTACCTTCCCTCCACATATGAACGCGAAGGAAACGAAGGTGTTTTTTTGCATTCCTTTTACTGATTGTCCAGATTTTCTCAACCTGGAAGACGAACCTGGAACACAACTTCCGCTCCGGTCAGAATTGCAATTATTTTGTTTTTGTTATTTTTTCTCTTTTCTGGAATTATAAATACAGAACAAGAGAAAATGAAACTAAAAATTCCTATTGACGATACAAACTTTGGAAAAGTTAACTAAAGCTACTTAAAATTGAAGCTATTTTAATTAATTAATTTTCTTATAAACAATTATCAGCACTTAACTCTGATAGTTAATTATTGTTTTTTGACAAAATTAGGAATTAAAAAAATTCTCAAAGGGTAAATAACGTCTAGATTTTTACAGAAATAATAGAAAAATCTTTCATGCAAATCCAATTGTTAAACAATTAAATTGTTATAAACAATAACTGAATACTAGCCACAACTACATGTTCATTTTATTTTTTTCGCAAAATACGAAGTTAAAAAAAATTGTGGGAGAAAAATCAAGATTTTTATAAAAAGTAGTGAAAACATCTCTGATGAATATCCAATTGTTATAAACAATTGCCAGAAATAAGACTTCACTGCTGCTTTTTTTTTAGTGTTTTTTACTAAATTCTAATTTAGAAAAAATTGTAGTTGGTAGAAAACGTTCAAATTTTTTTAAAAAAGTAGTAGAAACGTCTGTGATAAAAATCCAATTGTTACTATTTTTTTTATGTTTTTTCACAAAATTCGAAATTAAAAAATTTATAGGGGTAGAAAAGTAAAGAATTTTATAAAATGAAGTGTAAAAATCCTTGATGAAAGTCCAGTTTCTTACAGAAGGTAATTCTTTTATGAAAATCGAATTGTTGACAAATTTAATTGTTATTAACAATAACCAGAAACCCGCCACAACTACTTTTGTTGCATTTTTTCACAGAATATGAAGTTAAAAAAAATTTGGAGAAAAAAGTCAAAATTTTTTAATAGAAAGCAGTGAAAACATCCCTGATGAATATCCAATTGTCATAAACAATTATGAAAAACAAGACATAACTGTTGCTTTTTAGGGTTTGTTTTACTAAATATTAATTTTAAAAAATTGTAGTTGGTAGAAAACATCCTAATTTAAAAAAAGCAGTAGAAACATCTGTGATAAAAATCCAATTGTTATAAACAATAACTGCTCGAACGAAAAAATTATAGTTTTTATTGCTTTCTTACTAAATTCGAAATTAAAAAATATCTAAAGGAGTAAAAAAGGTTTAAATATTTACAAACAGCAGTGAACACTTTTCTGAGGAAGATCCAATTGTTAAACAATTTAATTGTTATAAGCAATTAAGCAATTTAATTGATATTTTTTACAAAATTAAAAATTAAAAAATATGTAAGGGGGTAGAAAACGTCCAGTTTTTCTCCGAAAGCAATAGAACAATATTATGAAAATTCGTTTGTTATTAAAAATTAGTGCAGGAATCGACAAATTATAGTTTTTTTATTGTTTATATAAAATTTTTTTAAGAATTTAAAATTTAAAAATATATCTATGTTGGTAGAAAACGTCCAGTTATTTACAGAAAGCAATTTTTCTATGAAAATCCAATTGTTAAAACCATTACCAGCAACTGGCTGCAGCTGCTAGATTTTTGTGTTTTTTTTTTTGTTGACAAAATTCAAAATTAAAAAGAAATAGGGAGGGGGTAAAAACTTCAAGACTTTTACAGAAAGCAGTGTAAAATGTTCTGATAAAAATTGAATTGCTATAAACATTAACAAGCAACCGGCTGTAGCTGAGTAAAAATTCCTGAAGTGGCCTCCCCTATTTTCGCAAAGTTGCAAAATCTAAAATAAGTATTTGTATTTGAAAGTACTAGTATCTGGTAATATTTGCACAGAGTATTTTAAAAATATTTAAATTATTTATATTTTTTATTGTTACTTAAAGATTTTTTAACCCTTTTAATAACATAATTTTAATTAATTGAGTTTTTCCATAAATTGAACAAAAATTTATGGTTATATCAGTGAGTAAATGTTCCTTAGAATGTAGGTAAACAAGAACTGAAAAGAAATCTTAGTGCAAATAAAAAGCTTTTTCATAATTTGACTAATTGTCGAGCGCTGCATACTGCGCGCAAACACCGCACAGTGGGATTTTTTTACAATTTACTGTTCAAAAATGTCTATAGTTGGATTTATGGAAAAACTCAATTAGTTAAAATTATTTTATTAAAACGGCTAAAAAATTTTTAAGTAACAATAAGAAATATAAATAATTTAAATATTTTTAATATACTCTGTGAAAATATTACCAGATACTAGTGCTTTCAAATACAAATACTTATTTTAGATTTTGCAACTTTGCGAAAATAGAGGGGGCCACTTCAGGAATTTTTACTCAGCTGTTTGATTTTTAGTGGTTTTTTTGACATATTTCAATAATATAAAAAATCTAAGGGAATAGAAAGCTTCCAGAGTTTTACAGAAAATCTATTAATCTAATGGAAAAATATTTCTGACGAAATTCTATTTGTTAAACAATTTAATTTTTATAAAAAATTACCTGCACCTGCATAATATAACTGTTGGTATTTTACTGTTTTTGATAAAATTTGAATTTAAAAAGATCGAAATTGATGTAAAAGGTCCAAAAAATTTTGAGCTTCATATCTAGTTAGTTGGACTTACGTGCAACTAACTGAATATGAAGCCCAAAATTTCTTCAATTGAAGCTTTCCTCAGATTTTAAATGTAAAAACTATATTATACCAAAAGTCAGTACAATTGGTACAATTAGTTATTGCAACCACTGGAAAGTAGACAGTACGTATGTTTTGTTTACAAATGACAACCGCATGACCTAATTTATACTCGTCAGTGAACTTCCGGTTTTGAAGATTAAAACAAATCTTTGAAGTGCTTTTAAAAGTTGAATCGTGTGCGTGTGTGTGTGCGTACATGAGTTTTGTGTATAGTTAAGTTGATTTACAAGAAAGTAAGAAGGGGTGTATACCTAAAGCCATTAGAGAATTGCGTCGACGACGTTATTGAGGACGGCAGCTAAAATAAAGTAGTTAGGAAAGTGACCTGATACTCAAGTTGTTTTTAATACTTTTATTGGATAGTATATATACTGTGCATAATTGCGTTCGCAAACAAGTTTTATACATATGTCTCAACGTCACGAAGACGAGACTTCACTTGTTTTCACACACAATTATATATATTTATATATTTACAGTGGAGAAAAATAGTTAGCTATAAAAAATATAATTAAAAAAAAATAATTGCAAATATTTTGGTAACTGATTTTTCGTGAGCTTTTGTTTTTTTATACATTTAAACATACTTTGAGCTAATAGCATTTTTTTTAATTAGGGGAAAAATTTTACTTTCCCAACTGCTAATTAGCGTCGATAAGAATTTTTATTAACTTACTGAAATTATATAATTATAATAGTTTAAAAAATAAATAATTATTTTTCAAAGACTATATGAATTGAGTCTTTATTACAATAATTGCATACTTATTCTACTTATCATTTAATTATTAAGTTTTTCTTTTGATTTCTTTAATTTTGATTGTATACAGTTTTATCGTATAGAAAAGTCACTTGAGAGATTTTTTTTATAAAAATTTTTCATTTGCATCCGCAAATGCACTGAAAAGAAATTTACTTAATTCAAATAAATAATACTTTTCTATTATTAAATAAATATTTATTTGTATCAAATAATTTTTATTTAAGCCAGTAAAATGATATTTGCTTCAAATATTGAAATTATTGGTTAAAATGTACAATTTATTTGACTTAAATAAAAATTATTTAATTTAAGGAAATATTTATTTGATAGTAGAAATGTAGTCAGTTATTTAAATCAAAAGGAAAATTTTCCAATGCGAAAAATAAATTATTTTCTATATTATCAATGAAGAGTAATAAAACTAATAAGGCTAAATCTAGAAAATAATCTATAAAGAATCAATTCAATAAATAAAAAAACAGAATACAAAATTAAAATAAAGATAAAAACAATTAAAAAACGACAAAAAAATTTCCTGAGATTTTTTCTGATTATCACTGTTCTTACTATGACTGATAATCACGTTACTCAAAAGAAAATTTTTTAAAATACAATTCAATAAATACAAAGAAAAAATAATAAAAAATAATGCCAAAAAAAATTTTCTGCAATATTTATAATTTTTTTAAATATTGTTTTTTTGACTAATAACACTGTATCAAAAACTAACAATTAAACAAAAAATGTAATAAATAGTACCAAAACATTAAAACAAAATAAAGAGTAGAAAATTTTTAAAAATTAAGAAACGAGAAAAATAAAAATTTCCTGAGATTTTTTTTCCTTTTCTCAAATTATCTTTTTTTCTTTTCTACGACTGATAGTCACGGTATCCTTGATAAGCGAGATCCTGACCAAATGACACATGATCTCCCTGATTGTCGTGATAATTTGAGGGATAATTTTCCTGATGGTAATTATTAGTTTGTTGTGTACTTTCTTTATAATGTGGAAAGCCAATGCCACCATGACTGTAGACTGGTGGTTGATATGATTGTGTAAGTGGTCGGCACAATCTCAAAACACCAATTATTCCCGGTATAACAATTGCCATGAAGCCCAAGAATTTCTTGAATGACGCAAGTCCCAATATCAATGGTAAAAATAGTAGAAGTTTCAATTTAAAGAGCTTTAAAACAATGAGCATTGGAATTAAAATTCTCTTCAATCGATTGCGAGCTGTAAAATAAAATTTTTCATAATTAGTATTAATAATAAATAATTCATTGAATTCATTGAATAATTTTTTGCTTTTGGATTAGTAAATTTTACTAATAAATAGTAACTTTTTATTAATTTATTAGTAAAATTTACTTAATTTAAAAGCAAAAAGTCAGTCAATAATTTAAATTAGTAAACTTTTTTACTATTCAAACTTAGAGAGAAACAAAATAATTAGCCAAATTAATAAAATAGCAAAATAGTGACCAACAACAATTTCGTAAATAATGTCAGTATTATTAAAATTTAGAATATAAATAAAATATATGTAAACAATATAACAGTTAATAGATAATCGGACAGGTTTCGAAATTACATGTAGTTCAGGCGAAAGTCGCCTGGTTCTTTAATGAGAAAAGGTTGAAAATGATTGGAGAAATTTCTGTGTGAAAGGAAATTATGATTCAAAAAAATAATTTTATTTTGTTTTAATTTTTTTTCTTAATTCGATTAATTGTTTACGTTTCAATTAAAATATTTTATTTCATATTTCATCTCTTTGATTTTTGTCTAATGAACTTTATTGCTTGTATAGGAAATTCTTGCACTAATATTATAATTTTTTTTAAATTTTTTATTTAAAAAAAGGTAGGGATTTTTTATTAAATTCTTTTATTAGCAAAATTATTAAAAATGACAAATTTAAAAACAACTGAAAGATGATTAATAAATATACAAACAACAAATTGAAAAATACCAAAAATATAAAAAATATAAATACGAATGACAAAAGAAATTTAAAAATAAAAAAACAAAAAGCAATAAAGAAATGCAGCAAAGGAAAGCGATAAACATAAAAATAAACATGCAATTCATTTGCATATAGGGAATTTGTTTGTCTTTCTCTCAATATGCACTATCAGTACAAGAATATCAATGGCATAGGAATGTTAACGGTATCAAGAATATTACAAACAAAATAGTACCAATGAAAGCTAGATCAAGATATAAAACTCGACGTGACTTCATTTTTTTTGCATTAATCATATCTACATAAGTCCCCAAGAAAACCTACATTGTAAATGAATGGTACCGCAAGAATCAACATTCCACCACTGACATCCAGTTTTGAATTGGATTGAAAATAAAATCTAATTTAAGGATGAGAAGCAAATGAAAAACATATTTAATGATACTCCTCTGATCACTACAACCTGATATAAATCAATCAAGAACTTTTCATTCATTCCTTTTGAGAGTATACAACTATTTTTTAGTGTTCATGACAGTACCATCACTTATAATCATTTTTCATATGCAAAAGAAATTATATACAACCCCAATAAACACGGAATATTCAATTCACATTCCTGGAATTTTTTCCTTTAAACATTTTCATTTCCCGAATAATTTTAATAATCATTATAATATGTGACGTTCCACGGTGAAACGAACCTAACTTAAAAAAAATTTTTAAGTTATGTTTATGAACGTTGTACTTTCGAAGGTGGAGATTTTTTTAATTTTATAAAATATAAAATGTTTATTAAATATTTTGGTCCCATTCACCAAGGAGCGTCACATACAATATTATTATATGATAATGTATTATTATAATTATGATAATAACAATTTCATTATATTTTTATATAATAATTATAATAATACATAATAATTTTTCTATTTTACAACTATTCGAGTGAAAAAAAGTTTAAAAAATTAATATGTGGGACGCGCTCCGAGGAAAAGTATCTAGAAAGTAAAACATTTTAGGTTATGTTTGTAATTTTTTGAATGAAAATACACAGGAGATCAACTTTCAATATAAACCACATAACCTTAAAATTGCTTCTTAGGTACCTTTCTTCTGAACGCGTTACATATATAAAAAAAATGAGTATTGGAATTTCTGAGTCATTTTTGTTTATAAATCGAGAATTATGATTGGCATTTTAGTACTTTCACAGCTAATATACTATATCTAGTAGTGTAACAACATCAATACAAGTATTATACATGCTGAGAGACAACCTACTCAATCTTCTTTTTAAGTTTTACGTGCCAGATATATATACGTATATATAAAATATTTTGCCTTCAAGGAACGATTTACCACAAGTAGAACATTGCATCTAATATTTATTTACGATTATTACTCATTTGATACCGTTTTTAATAGATATCGTGTTGAGTATAATTCTTCATCGAATGTATGAGACAAACGTTCATTAAACTATATCTTAAACAGAAGCGATAAAATTTTCAAAAGAAAAAAAAATTGCCAATCAGTCATCATATTTTTGAAAGAAGATTTAGTGTGTATTTCTATAAACAAATTCCAAATAAATTTATTTCTGTTTTTATAATTTTTATTCTCTCTAAATCTGAATTAGTAGTTTTCTACTAATGAAATAGTGCGGATTCGTTTACCAATTGAATTAGTAATAGTTTTAACTAATTTTTAGTAGTTTTCCACTTATTGCTATTAGGTATTTAAATAAAATGAACTAAATTAACACTTAATTGTAAAATAATGAATAAAAAATATTAAATTAATATTAAATTGATATTAATTGTAGGTATATTGAATATATTTGAGAAAATTTCAAAAAATTGAAAATGGAATGTGAAGAAAAAAAATTGGAAGATTGTAAACCAAAAAATATTTAATTAATCGGATAGGAAAGAGCGATACTCACAGAAGAGAGTGTCCTTCTTATTTTCAATGGTATCAATTTCATCGGCAATCTCGTCTATAAATCTTGGGGCATAAACTTCATTCTCACCCACAGCCCACGATGGAATATCGACTTTAAAAGCCACAGTTTTTACGAATTTCTCAGCTTTCCTCATTGCAAATTTTACCAGTTGATCCCATTCAGAATCTTCTGATCTGTCAAGAAAAAAAAATTAAAAACACATAAACAAAAAGAAAATAGCCTACCTAAATTTTTTAAGATTAATTATAAAATATTATTAAAATAAAATAACAAAATTAAAGAAACATAATAAATTTACGTCACAAATAGGTCATAGCAGGTCAAGTGATGTACATAACCTAAAAGTTTAGATCAAAAGTTACAGGTCAGAAAAAAATGTAAGGCAGCTCACAATTTAGGTCAAAAGTCGAAAGTCTAAATACAATAAATTTACAAACAGAATTCAAATAAAGATAATTTAGAAAAAAAGGAGAGAATGAAAAAATCAGGGAATGAAAAACTGAGATAAGGAAAATATTGAGAATACTATCTGCAATATTTTATTAGATTAATAATTAATATTATTCAATTGTATTAATATTAATTATTTATAATTAAGTATTAGTTATTTATTTACAATTAAGAATTAATTATTTATTTATATTAATATTAATTTGATATTAGTTAATATAAATAGTAAATTAATACCTAGAAGCACTCGCATATTCGTAAGGTTGTTGATTAACACTCTTAACAACATCACGAGGCATTCTGATTATTTTAACGCTTTCGCTGAGTGTGTATTCTGGTTGATCGAAAAAATCGGAAAAAGTATTTAATGCCCGGGACTTAAAGCATTCTGCAAAGTCACCATTCAGACAAGCTTCATTTGTTCTCGCTAAATAAGAATCAACATGACGTCCCGTACCAAGACCAATCCAGTCAAAAAGATCCTTCCCTTGCCTTGTTCTATTCAACAATTGTCGACCTTCTGAACTTTGATTTTCAAACCTTGGCACCTCATCTACAAAATAGAAGAAAATTCAATGGAAAGCATATAAATAATTGTGTTTCGTATTTTGAAGTGTGTTCCATTAGTTTTCTTATATATGTTACGGGCAATGTTCAAGAGCCGGGCAATGTCCGACAATGCCCGGGCACTGTCGACATTGCCCACTGTCACTGGGCATTGTCGACATTGCCCTGGTTTTTTTCGGGCAATGTTAGAAAATATCCATATTACTCGGTTGTACCGGGCAATGTTAAAATTATTTAAAAGAAGTACATTGTAAAAAACGCGCTGATAATAGTTTTGGCCTTTCTTCGGTGGCATATGATGAGTGTGTACAAAAAGTAGAACTTTTAAAATCAAAAATCAAAAAGGATTCGAGTGATTTTAGATATTTACGAAGATTTGACACAATTTCCGTTAATAATCAACGGAAATTAATAAAACCAATTATTGCGATGGAAAATGTTTTAGCTTTGCAAATCTCATTGAGAGAAGCTGCTTCCAAGAAGAGCATATTCGGTGTTCAGGGTTACGAGAGGTGTAATTGTAAAACGGGATGTGCCCAAAACAAGTGCAAATGCTTTAGAAATAACAAACTATGTAATTCTAAGTGTCACAGTAGTTTGTCCAGCACAAACAAATAAGTATAAAAATTTTTGTTCCTCATCAAATAAAAAATCTTGAATAAAATCAAACTCATTTGTCATGATTTCTACTGATATCGACATTGCCCAAGTCGGACTGGACAATGTCGACAATGACCGGGCAATGTCCGACAATGCCCGGGCATTATCGGATTTTTATAGGTATTGTAAAAAAACCAGGGCAATGTCGACAATGCCCAGTGACAGTGGGCAATGTCGACAGTGCCCGGGCATTGTCGGACATTGCCCGGCTCTTGAACATTGCCCGTAACATATATAATAAACTAATAATATGAAAAAAAATGTAAATTTTTTAAAAATACTACTTCTAATAATCAAATAAAAAAAAATAAAATTTGTAAACCCCTTAAAAAAAAAGAAGTGTTATTTTAACACCAGATGTGGTGTTAGAACTAAACGCAACATTTTTAACTGACACTGTGTTATTTTAACAACAAATGTAGTGTTAAAATAACGCAGTGTCGGTTAAAAAATAATAATAAATAAAATAAAAAAACTAATAAATAAAAAACTGTTATTTTAACACTATATTTGATGTTAATAAAGTAACACTGAAGTGTGTTAAATTAACACTAGAGCGTGTTTAATTAATATAAATTTTTAATGCGTGTTAAAATAACACCATCTGAAAACTACACACAACAAATACAACACACTTTTTCTGTGCCTTTAGTTAATTGAATTTAAAGAATATACAAAATCTTTCTCTTTCATTAGATTTTATTATTAATAATTTGCACTTATGCAAGAATAATACAAATATACACTCATTTTACGAGCGAAACAATTTTATTCTAATAAAATGTTAAATAACGTTAATTAACCGAGCAGTAGAGAAGGAGAAAATATTTTCTCAACATAAAATATTTTCTTGAAAGAATTTTTCATAAAAAGTATTCAAACAATTAATATACTTTACTAATTTTTAGGCACATATATTTTTCAAAAATAGAAAATTTTAAAGAAACGAAAATGAAGACATAAAACTGGTGCAAAATATATCCCACGCAAAGTATAATTATGTAGAGTTTGTCTATTGGAAACTTTTCCGTCTGACTATAACGGTCCACTTTCACTTACTAAACCTATTGCTACTTGTGGTTAATAAATCGAAACAATATGTGCGCGCAACGCTTCTATGGCAATTTCCAAGTGGAACAGGAACATTTCAGTCAGACAAGAAGTCATTTGTAAAGAAAGCGGCGTTTTTACTGTTATTTCGAGAAAATTCAATTTATCGATTATTACAAAATATGGAATACTGTAAGAAATGAATTTTCAAATATCTTTATAATCATGATATCAAGAAGTTAACTTTATTTAGTTTGAAAATAAAATTTTTAAAAAATTTTAGGGCTTTTTATTAGTTTTTATTTACTTTTATTGCTACTTATATTACTAATTGTTACTGATTAATTAAAATGGTCAATTTAGTAATAACAATAATTTTTTGTAATAAATAATCAAAACATTAATAATAGGTAATAAAAAAATCTATATTAATAAAATCAGACTTCTGTCTGTACAATGCTCCAAGCTTGAAAATTTTTATATATTTTTTTGTTTTGAGACATGAGAATTCGAAAAATGTAAAAAAAAAAATTTCTGTCTGTCTGTCTGTATGCAAAACTTTGTTCGCGCATCACTTCAAAACGGTTTAACCGATTAAAGTGAAACTTGGCAGTCTATTAGGTATTAACGTAACTTAAAATCATAGCCTTATCCGATTAAAAAATATTAACTTGAACGAAAGTTACGACATTTTTTCAAAAAATTCGAAAAATAAAAAAAATGAAAAATTTTTATTTTTTATAAAATGGATGCAAAACTATCCTTAGCTAACTTTTTTAGATAAATACAACCCATTTCTATACTAAAATTTCAAAAAAAGACGTATTTTGAATTTTTTTTCGTTTTTTCTGATCAAATTTTTTCTACAAAAATGATGATTCTTGATTTTTAAACAAGCTTTTTATGGAAAGTTATTAAACTTTTTTTATTTAAAGACCAGTATTTAAAGCAAGAAATTTGCCTCATTGGACCAAAAAAATTGTTTCAATATTCAGTTTTTAAAATCAAGAAAGTTATGCAGAAGTTAACAAAAAAATGTTCATATGAATTAAATGTATCACTGCTACTCAAAGGGTTAAATATTAATTAATTCTTGCATTAAGTTGGTATTGATATTTTCTAATTAATTAATTAATTTGTTTTCTTGGTAATTTTAATTTCAATTTTATCATAAAAATAGAAAAAATAGGAATTTTAAATCTAAAATTTAAAAGTTTAAATATTTTTACCCATAAAAATTGAAAACATTAATATCTAATTTTTTTGATTTTACCTACTTATTACTTTTAAATAAGATGTTTTTTGTTTTTACAAATTATGATCCAAGATAATTTAGTAATACTGAAATGAAAATGTTTTATATCTTTTATCAAATTTAATTAACAAGAATTTTTTTAGTTTTACTAAGCTCCTGGAAAATAATCCCGAGTAGAAATTTTGACAGGGGCCAGACCTGGGTGAAACAAGGAACCCGGCCGGCGCCATGGCGCAAAGCCTGATTTGACGAGCTGCCAGGTCGGGTCCTGGTTTCATGCGGGGTCAGGGCCCTCACTGCAAAAACAAGTGTCTCATTTTGAGACGTTTTGTCCCATATTTGAAACACATAAGATGTCTTAGTCCACATATTTGAAACAGATATGTGTCTCATTTTAAGACGTTTCAAACTGTCTTACAGTTACACATTTAGCAATGCATTTTGAGACACGAAATGTGTTTCGAGTATCCGTCTCACACTAAGAAGACGTTTTACGTGTCTTATACGCATTGAGTTACCTTTAATGTCTTAAAATGAGACACGAGATGAAATTAAATGTCTCAATATAAAACAGATTTTGTATCTCAATGGTTTAAACACTTAAAGCAACTCATTTTAAGACACGAGTGAGATACCAGTTTTTGCAGTGCTGTTAGGGCAATTTCTGCACGGGATTTAAAAACTTGCCAAAAACAATACTAATAGTGGTTACCTCCACGTGGTGCTTCTCGGAAAAAAGCTAATAAATGGTTTTTTATAAGCTCCAAGTGTGAAATTCCAAGACTGCAAAACGGGCCCGTCAACACTGAAAAAATTACATTCTAATTTTAAGAAAAACTTCTTAAATATGCGCCAAGAATATTCCCCACTTAAATTAAGTGGGAAACATTCTTACAATACTAATTTTCTTCTTATTGTAAGAATATTTCCCACATAATCTAAGTGGGGGAATATTCTTGGCGCATATTTAAGAAGATTTTCTTAAAATTAGAATGTAATTTTTTCAGTGAATGTCTGCAGAAAACTGGCAAAAATTACTTGGGCCTATATACTAGCATACAAAACGTCTCATTGCTGGTAACGGGACTTAGCACGGACCAATAGTGGTACATTATTGTCAGATTATTAGGATAAACTTTTCTATCTATGATGGCAAGTTGTAATTGAAAGTATTGGATAAAACTGAATTCATTATGGAAAACTTTAAAAATACTAAGAAACACGTCGAAGACGGGTATCGTAGCTATTAATATATAAGTAGGAATAACAATAACTAATAACCCGTCGAAGACGGGTATCGCAGCTAGTAATAATAATAGTAGTAATAACAATAACAATAAATTAACAGTCTCAATAAATTAATCGTATTAAATTAAATTTCTACGTATATGTATTACTTTGAATTGAATTTCTAGAGAATTCTAGAAGAAAATTGAAAGAAGAAGAAAAAAGTAATGAAGAGAGACACTAACCACGTAATGAAGAACTTTCTTCTGAAGTCTCATCCTGGAAAGTAACTTTACTAGACTGAGTATGTACCAACACAAGATTTATCGACAGAGTAAAAGTAAATTGAAGCAATAGTTGTACTAGACGCATTCTGCTTTCTCGACGTTGGATCTGTAATAACAAATATTATTATTTATCGACCCTGAATTGGATTTCAAGGACTTGTTATCAAAATAACTTCAATAAGGAAGCAATTCTCTCTACCAGCAAACAAAATTTTTTAATTTTTTTTCTTTCAATTCAATCGATTCATTTTTCTGTAACTCAATTCACAATAATATTTCAATAAAAAATTATCAATTTTTTTATTCAAAACAGAATCATTTTTTTAATTAGGCATCCTGCAAAAAGGAGACAGATCAATGAAATTTACAACAATAATTATATTGATAAAACAGAAGTTAATTAAAATAGCGAGTAAAATTTTCAAATTTTCGAATTTTTAAAATTGCAATATTTATATAAAGAAAAAAATTTACGAATTTAAATTTAAATGAAGTAAAAAAAATGAAATAAATATTTGTTAGTTGTATAAAATATAAAAATGGAATTAGTATTCAAATAGGTATAAAATATAAAAATATGAAAATTACACCAAGAAGAAAATGAATGAATTATTGTAAATAAAGAATAATGAACTGCAAATTTAAATATTACTAAATGTGAATTAGTACTTAATAATTACTAATTAATTATTAATATTTATAGTAACTACAAATTATTACTAAACTGTTGCTACTGACTAGTTAGTAATAACTTATTATTACTAAATAATTACTATTTACTATCTGACAATTAATGATAACTACTTAATAATTAGTAAAGTAATTAACAATTGTTAATTCTTCTTAATAATTACTACTTGACAATTAGTAATTACAGCTTCTATTACATACTTATTAGTGAAGTTAGTATTAAAGTTAATGTAATAATTACTAATTACTACTTGGTAATTACTACAGGTGTCATCACATAGTAATTACTAATCACAAATTTATAAATACTAATTACTTATAATTAATTAATACTTATTTCATAATAATAACTAATTAGTGTTTAATAATTTCAAATTAATACTTGCTACTTAAAAATTACTTCTTAGTGATTACTGTTTAGTAATTACTAAATCATAAGTACTAATTAGTACTTAGTAATGACTAATTATTATACTTAGTAATTACCGATCACTATTAATAATTAATAATTATTATTATTACTAATTACTGTCAATAACGAAGGTTTACAAATTCAGGTAAAGTCCCAGTAAGAAACGAAAAATTGAAAAGGATTGAAATAATTCAAACTCTGTATGGTGTAGTAGAAATTATCCAATACTTTTGAATGCCATTTCTGTCCAATACTTTTCTATACCATGATAGGACCACGTTTCGTCTAAAAATGAATGCTATTTAATTCTTTTTGTAATTTTTAACAAAGACAAAATTTTTTTCTGAATGCTTTCCAATCCCATCCGAAATTATTACAGCCTGTCATTATATCACTTTTCAATTTTTCATTGGAACCGCGATTCTGCATGCATTCAAGCAATCTTCTGGATTTTTGTAATTTATAAGATACATACAGTGGCAGATTTTGTAAAAAGTGTTTGTGTTCAAAGAAAAACTTGCTGAAAAATTGATTGTTTACCAATTTAACGTCATTTAAACGAGTCAGGGCCGTTATTCTGTTAGACAATAAATCATAACCTAAAAATTTCAGAGACCTTTAAACACTTTTAACCCTCTTAACTGATAATTTAATAATTATTCCTTTTTAAAATAGCAAATAAATTCTTGAGTGCAGTTATTTGAAAGTAATTGAACATTCTATATGTCATCAATAATATTAGTATTATATTATTATACTACTGTCGCGGAATTCAGAAGCATAGGGCAGAAATGGTATTCAAAAGGATAGAATTTTTTTAAAGCTTCTTAATCTTTGCTTTCTTACTGGGTATTCAAGAGGATTGATATCGTTACTTTTCATATTGCTCTCACTGGATAGAAAAGTTGGACAGAAATGGCATTCAAAAGAATAGAATCTTTTTAATACTTTTCAATTTTTCGTTTCTTACTGGGGTTTTGGACCCAATAAGGAAAGAACGCTTTTTAAAGTATTTTTTATGCTGAATTCAAATCTGTGGTTGCTAGATTTTCTCTAGGACGTCTAATTTTAAAATAGCAGAACTAAAATGTCGAAAAAAGAGCAAAATTTGATAAAATTTTCGAGAAACTAGTTACTAATAGATTTTCGAGGTCACTGATTACGAATCTAAAATTAATTTAAGAAAGTTCAAAATGGCGGATCCAATGTGGCAGACGAAAAACTAAAAAAGAGATTTGTTTAAAATTTATAACTTATGGGTTTATTGGGGTTATTTTGAAATATTAATGACATATTCGGAATTCCTTACGGTTTTCTCTTTAATATATATTTTTCCAGATTTTTGAAAAATGTTGTTTTTTCAAAAAACGACTTGTTTGAAAAAAAACTAAAAAACTCTTTTTTTGGGAAAATACTTAAGGTCATCCGGGAAATAATAGTGGTTTCGTAGAATACACTTAATTCAAAAAGAAAAGCATATTTCGGGTTGGAATTTTTTGGAAATAATAGAGGAAGGGACTCTGCAGAGGGGTCATCTTGGTATTTTGCATAATTAAATTACTTAATTTGTAAAAAAATCTTGTAAATTAGTAAAGTAAACATAAAAACAAACATTTACACCTTAAATCCAATTCGACATTTTTTATAGAGTAGCACAAAAATTACAAAGCTGATTAAGAAAATGTATATACGTATAAAATTAAAAAAAAATCGCACTGTGAATTAATTCTGCATACTTAAGTAGTTATGAGTCATAATGACAAAATTATCACAAATGTCGCCGTAAAATTTTTTATACACATCCTTTTAACAGTTGATTCAAAAGCACAAATAATAATGAAAGAATAACCAATTTTATTAAAAATTGGTGTCTTACCAAAAATTGAAAACACTCATCGTGAATATTATATTTTTAATATTTATTTATTTTTTTTATTTATAAGAAAGAAAAACTTGATGATGTTAAATCACAGACCGCGGCAGACGTTTAGCAGGGCAACTGTCAGTGGGACCGGCGTGCTTATGGTTACAAAGTTCCGTTACATCGCCAACCAATCAAAATCATCTTTAAAGACAAACCGGGTCCAATGACTTGTATTTCAAACGCGCGCGCATCTTTTCCAACGTATATGATATCATATTTTAAAAAATATATATATTCCCTCTCACGTAAATTATGTGGAATCTTTATACCATATGTAATGAAGAGAAATTATATAAATTAACAAAGAGATAATGATATATGGCTGATTCTTTTTCTTTCTTCGTTTTTGAAAATTGTAACTTATGTTTAATCTACTTTTCACTGGGACATAAATTGTTGACATTGTTATAAATTATTTCTGTATTAAGATTTGAGGAATTTAGAATATTTTATCATCCGGGGTGAACTAATTAATAATTGTATTGTCATTTTTTGATATTATAAATAAACACATTATTTTTATAACTGGAAAGTTGTTTTACAATTTTTAACGATCAATTGTTGTAGGTACTAATTTTTTTTTAATTAAAATATTATTTAAGAATCATAATATATTAATAATATTAGGACTATTAAATAATTTTAATATTGATAATGATAATAATATTAAATTACTTTGAATTTTGATTATAAGGAACATATTTATTGATTAATAACCATTAATTTAATTAATTTAGATCTTATTTTAATCCAGGCTAAAGTAATTAAAAATTATATTACTTGTTTTATTTTTTTGTAAGTTGTCACAATTACAAATGAGCATAATTTTTATATCTGAAAAATTGTTTCAATTTTTAACGATTGATCTTTACAATATTTTCTGTTTTGATTTGACAATAAAGTCAATAAACTCTATCATTATTTTCTTTTCTGATTCAAAATTCTCTCCAGTAGCAGTGTAATTTTTCATTTTTTCATAGTTTAGAGATATTTTTAAAAAAGTGATTTTTTAATTTCTGATATCAAAAAACATAAAAAATATGCTCCAAATTCGAATTTGAAATATTTTGGTTAAAAAGAATATCTTTAAACAAAAAAATTGAGAAAATGATATTTTCCAAAATTTTTGTTTTTTAAAATAACAATAATTTTGTAATTTCTAATCGAATTATAATAAAAAATAGGTCAATTGAAGCGTTTTTTAATGCTCTGCAAGTTGATTGTACTTTTAAAGTTACTTCTACATTTCTTAACAAAATTTTTAAAAGAAGTCTTATTTTGCAAAATTTTAAAGATTTGTAAGATTTATTTTCAGAAAATGCATAAAATTAAAATTTTATCGCATTTTAATTGTAACAATTATTTTAATCCTTATTTAATGGTTGAAAGTGGGAAAAATCAAATTTTTCACACTTTCACGTTGAAACACTTGTTAATTATTTTCTAATTAGAAAGAAACGAAGACGCTTTAAATTTAAAAAATATAACTAATATCTTACCAAATGTAAAGAAATATCTGCAGTATTTCTTTGAAAAAAGAAATTACGAACTCACACACAAAATTCCACTATTTCAGAACATTGCAATAGTGCAAACAAAAATTTTAATTCAAATCCTAATTTATTTATTTATTAACAATAATATCTAGGCATGAATAAATTAATAATTAATTTTTAATAAAGAATTAAATTTATTTTTTTCGAATTATTTAATGAAATTAACGACTAAATAAAATATTATTTTCCTGATGTTTTTTGTAAAATTTACATTATAAAAAATTGAAGAAACAAAAACTAAACTCGTTGGTTCACGGGTAATTCAACATTTGAGAGATCATTGCTCTGGGTCCAGGATTTATATATCAAGAAAAGTGAGATGAAAGATCCGCGTGTGGGTCGTTCGCAAGAAGGGAAAGATATTAAGTACAAAAATAAAGAGAGTGAAAGTGTGTATTCCCAAGAATCAGAAACGGAACTTGGGCGCGATTTATGAAAAAAAAAAAAATAATATTAAGTAAAGAGAGAAATATTGCGAGATACGGAAGAGGACCAAATAGAAAGAGTTTACTAACTTTTTGAGTCATCTTGGACTTTCCTTTGTAAACATATTACTTTATAAAACACAAAAATTATGCGTCATCAGTCTTCTAATTTGATTTTATCCTCGCACATTTCTTTCTGAATGATACATAATTTTTAAAGATCATTATATAATACAGATCAAATTTGTTTTTTATGAAAAAAATTTGAAAGTTGACATTTAACATTTGAGAAAAGATTTCTTTTTTTTGCTTTAATTTCTAATTCTTTTTAAATATTTAATTTTATTATAAATATCAATAAATATGATGAATTTATAGATATTAATAACAATAATTAGTAATTATTAAAATAATGTAAGGCATGGGTTAAATTCATCACGACCCAAAACTGGCTCAGAAATGGCAAAACATACCCAACTTGTGGTAAACAATTCATATTAGGATTATTATTATTATTATTAATTGATTAACTAATTAGTCAATTAATTAATTATAATCACTTTATTAACTAATTAAGCAATTGATTAAGTAATGAATTAATTTATCAAATTATTATTTAATTGATTAAGTAATTAATGGATTAAATGAATAATTAAAATTCATACTTCTACGATTGTTAGGGAGTTAACCTCGGCTGACAGTTGTCAATAATTGAGCTTCGGCCCAATATTGGCAGCCAATGTTAACCCAGTATTGTAGAAAAAGCGAAAATGATTATAAATATTAGCCGACTAATTAATAGGTATCTAATAATATTAAAAGCAATTTTATAAATAATAAAAATTCTTATGATTGTATGTCAACGTTGGGCAGAATAATAATATGGATAATAATTATAATAACAGTAATAATTATAATACTTATTATAATAATGCTAATAATAATAATTACAACAAGTAATTCACTAATTTTCTAATTCATCACAAATTGAATCGAAATATTATTAAAATTGTTTGAAAGGCTAAAAATAAAGAAAGTCTATCCCATGGAGACGTAATCTGGAAAATCCCAACTCGATTTCTTAAAAAAATATAATTATGTCAGAGAAATTAAAATTGAAAAATTTCTAAAATAAATCAAAAAACTAGGTATTATAAAAATAGATTGAAAAAATAAAATCTATTAGAAAGAATTAAAAAAAATATTTCTACGCAGTGTAACATTTTATTTGTTAATATTTATTTTATAAGAGAAAAGAATTTTCCAGTATTTTCTTTTCCTTTTGTTCTTAATTAAATAATATTAATTTCATCACTCTTCAATTTTAGAAAACTAAAATTTATTAACAAATAAAAATAAATTTATTGACAGCGTATTCATATAAAAAAAAATTCAACATTTTCAATAGAAATGATTGTTATAATAATTCTACAAAGAAAAAAGAAGTTTGAAAAATTCTAAATGCACAGAAAATTGTTTCTATGTTTTGATGACTGTCATTTTAAACAATAAATTAATAAGATAAATTAATAAGATCCATCACGATTCAATCACAATAATCATAAACCATTGTCGAGTTGTTATTCTCAAAGAATAAATAAAATCCTAATAAGAAATTTAAAATCATTCACATATACATACATAAATAAATAAATAATATGGTATACACAAAAATATATAATACAATGCACACAAATAAATAGAATTACTACATTTACATTCCTTTCAATTTAGAGAGAATAAATAATTTATAAATGTTATATTGTATAAACAATTTAATCTAATTGAAAAATTTCTAATTTCATCCCTAGACTTAATGCCGTAAAAATAAATAGACAAATTTCGATGTAATAAATAAGTTTCTTAATTTTAATATTCAACTCTTTTGAGATGATTGATCAGTGATATTAAGGTGCTCCACATCTTAATTTCAATCATTGTTTTTTGTAAAATTCATCATCGATTCTTATATGTATGTATTATTTTAATTAATTAATTATCACTTCCGCATTGTAATTGATTAATTATCAATTCTCACAATATAATTAATTAGTTAGATGAAATTTTATTTGTGGATTCTTAATATATTAATTTAAATAATTTGTAGGCCAGTATTCTTAATATATTAATTTAAATAATTTGTAGGCCACAAATTATTTAAATTAATATATTAAGAATAAATAAAAAATCATCCTTTTAAATTTTAATTATATAACACAAAAAAAAAAAAAAAAAATTTTATTAATTGAACGAAAATGATATAATATTTAAAATACTTTATTTTACAAAAACTTAATTATTTTCTTGACAATGCTTTATTGCTTTTAATTTAAACTTGATAAGGGTAGTGGTTACTACCGAAACGTTGTTTTAATAACATAAGTTAATAAACAAACAATTGTGGAAAAACTGGCCTACAAATTATTTAAATTAATAATTAATTAGTTATTAATTTTCAATTCTCATATTACAAATAATTAATTATCAATTCGCGTGTAACAATTAATTATTAGTTATTAATTATAATATTAGAATCAACTAATTTTCTAATTAATAAATTAATTATAAAGGTAATTTTACATATAAAAATATACATTATTATGGGAAGAAATGTTTTCACTTGATTTGCAATTTTCTTTCCTTAATATTCGTATTTGGCATTAACACTATTTTTCTTTGCGCGGGAGCACTTGAGCATGGAGTATACTTTAAATTTAACAATTTCTTTGTGAGTACTTTTCTTATTAAAAATGTGGTATCAATTAATCAATCAATATCAATCGGTAGCAAGAAAAATTATTAAATACAGTATTTTTTTATTCTTTTTTTCTTCTTTTTTCCAATTTTTTTAGGAATAATTTATTTTAATTCATTCCTTTGTATTGAATTTTGTTTTTTTAAACTTGTTGTTAATTTTCACTTTTATGATTTAAATGCTTTAAGTCACTGACTACTTCCTCTTCTTCGAGTTTTCACTTTAACTAAAATAAAGTTTTCTTTGCATATTTATACACTTTTGAAAATAAATTAATTGAATTCCAACTGAAAGTGTTTTTCTCCATTCTTACACTTTTTAAGAGTCGATCAACAAAATTTGAACTAAAACAAATCATTCGATTTACACTTTAAAAAAAAATTAGGTAATTGAATTTCAATAAAAAGAGCTTTTTTCAATTATTACACTTTTCAAGAGTCAGTTAATAAAATTCGAAAATTTGTTCTTCGATTTGTACACTTTTCAAGAGTCAATCAAATAAATTCGAACTAAAAAAGTCTTCTTCGATTTCTACACTCTCCAAGAGTCAATCAATTAAATTCAAATTTAAAAGTTTTTTTTGAATCTACACTTTCAAAGAGTCAGTAAATTAAACTCAAACTAAAACAGTTTTCTTCGATTTTTACACTTTTCAACTCAGTCAATCAATTAAATAATTCTTCACCAGAAGATACGAATTTGTCTCAAATATTGTTTGCCCCACAAAATCAACATTCAACTTATCCCCCCATTAAATAATAATAAACAAAAAAAACAAAAATTTTGGAAAATAATTCTTCAAAAAACACGATTATTTGGAAAATTTCCGCGCATGCACTAATTTATCGATATCCTGATATGTTGCGAGCATTGCCTGATTTTGTCTCGTACTATCGTCGCGGGCAATTTCACAATTTGGATAAAAATCATCGCATCTCACACCGTCCTGTCCGTCCTTTGCCGCTTTCATATAGCGGAAAAATCGCAGTACATCAACGTTATCCGATCTTGGTTTCCTTAATTCATTTAATTCCCTTGATAATTGAGCAGAAACTAGATTTGAATATGGTGCATAACGCGCTGGACTTCTGTACATGGCGCAAACAACAAATTCACGACATCCTTCCGTCAAGTGACCCAATCTTGAAAAGACCGCGTCCAATCGCGATAACAATGGCGAATAGAAAGGATCGTAATTTGTCAACAGCAACGAACTCGTTGGAATCTCATGGAAAATCTGTTTGAAAAAAGGAGAAAAATTATTGTTTTTATTTATTATACATACACTCAAGAATGGAAGTTATTGACATAAACTCAATAATGAGGAATTGAAGAATCTGAACATTTTATTAATTATAAATTCTTTTGTAAATTATTAACATTAATTTTTATATTTTAAATTTTTACAAAATTTGAAACTATTTTACACTATAAAAAAGAGAGTTAAATTTTTACTTCGAATGGAATTCTACAAAATAAGCACTCTTTGATTTTTTGATTTTTGAAACTTCCTTAAATTTAATTTTAATTGTATTTTAATTGTATTTTAATTTGTATTTTCATTTAATTTTATTTTATTTTATTTTAATTTCAATTAAATTTCATATATTAATTTTGATTTAATTTCAATTTATTTCTAATTTTTAGCACGGACTTCGAAAGTCTTACTCGAAAAGATAACAATTTTTAAAGAATTTCTTTAGGAGTTTTTTTAAATTTAATTTTTTTAAAATAAAAAATTCGAAAAAAAATTTTTCTATGCAATTATTTATAAAAGTATATTAAATAATCTACAGATTACAATAGAATTAATAAATCAAAGAATTTTGATGTTGATTTTCGATTTGACTTATAGCACTTAATCATTTATTTTGTTGATAGGAAGACAATTTCAGTTGTTATATTTATCATTTAATAAGTCAGTTTATTGTAAAAGTTAATTATTGCATACGTTTTACAATAAACTGACTTATTAAATGATAAATATGAATGAAATTGTCTTCCTATCAACAAAATAAATAATTAATAAATACTACTGATTCATAATTAATGCAAAAATTATTTGAAAAATAAAGAATTTACTGAGAATTTTGTACCTAATAAATAAATAAAATTTAATAACTTTTTTTATTTATAAAAAAATTTATCGAATTCCTTTGGGAGTTGTTTTAAATTTTATTTATTATTTAATATACTATTATTATTATTATTTAATTAATAAATATCTGTAAATATTTTATACACATTTAGATAGAATAGAAAAAAAAATTATATTTAAATAGTTTAGATAGATTGAAATTTGTAATTGACGCAGAAATGTCAGAAGTTTTAAGGATTTATTTAAGAACGAGAAATATAATCAGTGAGTAGCAAAAGTCGTTTTTAGAGCGGCACAATAATTTGATTTTGAATCCAGAAATGTTCTCAAGTGGAAAATGAATGACCAAAGTCATCGATGTAATTTTCAAATAAACGGATTTGTTCATTTATGTACATTTTTATAAAATTTTTCTTTTTTCTTCGTGCTGGGGGACGAACGAAAGTTGTTTAATAAGAAACGGAAAAATAGTTCAGCTGTCAGATAATAGAGAAAGTGAAGTTGCATTTTAAGAATAAGAATTTTCTCCCACTGCTCATAACAATTGAATTTATAAATTATAAAATTTCACCAATTGAAATTATTTATTAAAAAACAGGATAAAATTCTTGAAGAAAATTTTCAGAAATCTACTGCAATGAAAAAAAAATTTACTTGATTCAAATAACCGATTACTTGTCTATTATAAAATAAGTATTTACTTGAATGAAATAAAATTTCAGTCAAATAAATTGTATTTGAATTTGAACTGATAATTTCAGTGTTTGAAGCAAATACCATTTAATTGACTCAAATAAAAATTGTTTGATACAAGTAAATATTTATTTTATAATAGACAAGTAATCGGTTATTTGAATCAAATAAATTTTTTTCAGTGTATAATTAAAAAATTTCTTTACATTGTTAACAAAATTTTTAAGACTTAAATGTCTTTTTAAGTCAGACAAAAATTAGTTCAAAGCGACTAATTCTTTTGAAATCATATTACAAATAAAATAGAAAAAAGTTTTAAAAAATATGATGTTATTTTCTTGGTTATTTGATATTTCCTGTGATAGGTTTTAAGTTAAAAATATACTGACAGAGACTCTTCAAAAGTTAAATAAAATTTTTAAAAAAATTCATTTTGATAACTTTTTAGGAATTTTTAATTTTTCTAATTTTAATTTAGGGAGATAACAAAAACTCTTCTCTCGAACAGATTATTCAAGTCGTTTCTTGAGAATGAGAGGAAGAAAGAAAGTCAAAAATTTGTCTGCTGAAAAGAAAGGAAATAAATTAGTAATTATCATAAATATAGTTCGAAAAATTTAGGAAAAAAATCCGACTTCAATACCTTGAAATCTTGCTTTTTCGACGAGTATCCATTGTTCGCCGTGTGCCTCGTGTAATAACGATCCGAAAATGTATTCACGTGAGGAAATCTTGAATCGACATACGAATAACGGGACGCTATTTCCGGTGTTTTTTGCGTCTGCAACATGCCCTCTTCATACATTGCAGATGCAGGAAGTGTTCCCACAGGTTGTCGATTCATGTAATCGTCCCCATAACCCTCGAGATTCTCCTTAAACTCGAAATTCTCATCCTGCTGTGGATTAATGCTCTGCGACGACTGAGCAAACGACGAAACTCCTGTGAAGACAATTCAAAATTATATTTTCTATCAATAAATTTTTCCATCACCTACTTTAAAATTTATTTAGATATACCACTGTCAGTAGTCATTAACCCTTTTTCCACAATTCAAAATGTTGGATCCAATATGGCAGACATTATTTTCAAAATTGCTCAATTTCGCTTGAATTTTGTTAGTCGGGAATTTTCGAGGTCGCCATTTTGAATTTTTAAAATCTGACTACAGATTTGTAACCAGTGAACCCGAAAACCCCAGAGTAACAAATTTTATGCAAATTTGATAAATTTTGAAAAAATGTCCACCATATTGGATCCGCCATTTTAAATTTTGAAAATTTTGAAAATAACACTTCCGGTATTAGCCATTTTCTGAGATTTCATTTTGTAAAAATCAAAAAAGTTTTTCGATTACTTTATTTTGTATTTTATTGACTTGTATTTTATCACATAAAAAAATTTTAGGTGATACCTAAAAATATTTTTTTTATAAAAAAAACCTCAAATTCAGTGGAATTTCCCTTTAAAAACAGTACATAATAATACAAACATAAAATTAGGAATTCACAGTTTTTCTAAGAATATCAAATTGAGAAAAAAAACGAATCAAAAGTGTTGCGAAGCAATAATATTTTGATTCGTTATTTGTCTCAATTTGATACCCTTAGAAAAAATGTGAACATTTCTTTGAAAATCTTTTCATTTTTTTATTTTTTTAAAAATATAATTAACTGACCTTTGCCGACAATTTTACCAATGCTTCCAATAATGCTCGGCAGGAATAGAGCAATGAGGATACTCTTGACAATTTGCGCGCCAAGAATCAATGGCAGAAGAAGTTTCTTGAGACCGAATGCTAAAAAACCAAGTCCGAAGCCTGTTAAAAATGTACTCTTTCCCTCAAAAACAGCTGAAAGCAAAAGTAACCAGCAATTAAAGCGTTTTTAGTCCTCCAAAACAAAGCCATGCTGCAACTATTTTTGTCCTTTCGTCCTTTTTTCTCTCTCTCTGACTCTTTACTTTTTTCTTTTGCTATCATCGAATGTTTTCTTCTCTATATAGCGTCGAATCTATCTGATATATTTTACTATAGGTACAGATTTATATTCTCTGTGGAAAAAATACTTGTCGAGAGATTTTATTTGGACAAGCTTGCTCTGAAATTGCAAAAGGCTAAAGCCGTTTTTTTTATTTTTATTCATGCGCAATATATTTTTTTGATGTAAATTTCAATTTTTTCTGTACAATTCGCAGGCAGTGTACATAAAAATTGCAATATGAAAGGAAAATGCATTTCAAAAAGGCGTATAGTCATGCTCAGCGTATTGGTAATTTTTTAAATTTTGTTTATCAATGAAAATTAATGAAAAAAAAATTCAAAAACTAGATGAAAAAATTGTAAAAAAAAGTGTTTTATAAAAGTAATTAAAATTTAGAGAAACTTAAACAAAAATTATGTAAAAAAATTAAAAAGATAATAGAAAATTAAGAATGTTGAAGAAATCAAATGATTAAAAAAAATTAAAAATGCAAAATGTTTCAGAATTAGAGCAAAATGTGAACGAAAGCTTATGTGCTTGCTGGCAAATGGCTTAAATACACATGTTTAAATAAAAATTAAATTAGCAAATGAAATTAATATTTTTGGAAAAACTGCATCAGTGAATGATTGTGTATGAATAATACAATAATATATTATAAAATAAAAGTAAATTTTGAAAAGTAAAATGCAAAATCACAAGCGAAAAGTTTCATGCAAAAAGATAATTTTATTGTACCATGCAATCAAAAAATTTATCTCTAATTTAGCAATGCTATTCAAAAAATAATTATTTCATTCTCTGTTGCAGAGCTCTCAGTGACTGTTGATATAATTTCCTTTTTATTTATTTACTCAAAGTGAAAGCTGATCGAAAATTAAGCATTATATTTTTTTTCCTCTGGAAATTAGAAAAATAATAAAGATGGAAAAATGAAGGAGATGATAATAAAGAAAATAAAGGAAAAAGATAAAGAAGAAGTCGTGAGGAAAAGAAAAGAAGAACAGGAAGAGAAAATAGCTGATGTGGGAAAATTAAAAGCATAAGTAAAAAAGAAACATCAGAAAAGAAAGAAAGCAAAAAAAGAGCAGTAAGAAGAAAGGAAGAGAAAGCATGAACAAAATTTGTGGAAGAAGCAAAATAGGAAGAAGAAGAAGATGCAAGAAAGAAAAAAGCAAGAAAGTAAAGAAAAAGTTGAAACAGTACAAAAATTAGTAAATGAAGTAACAGCAAAAGAAAAAGTAAATAAAGCAGAAGAAACTAAAGACAACAAAGTATCAGAAAAATTATTAGAAAAAGCATCAGAAAAAGTAACAAAAAAATAGTAGCTAAGAAAATTACGAAAACAAACGAGAAGTAAAAAGGTAACAACATCAAAAGCATCAACAAAAAAGTTAGTAGAGAAGAAAGCAGAATAAAAATCGTAAAAGCAGCATATATAAAGAAAAAGGGAAGAATTAGTGAAAGAAAAAAGTAGTAGAAAGAACAGAAGCAGAAGATAAAACAGAAAAAGCATCAGTGGATGAAGAAGAAGTGGAAAAGAAAATTATTAGAAAAAGTAGAAGAAGCAGAAAAGTTATTAAAAGAGGAAGCAGCACTAGAAAGTATGGAATATAAAGCATCAGTAAAAAAATTATAAGAAGATGAAGCAGAATAAAAATCAGTAGTAGCACAAGAAGAATAAATGTAAAATGCAAAAAGAAAAATTAAAAAAATAAAAAAGGATAAAGATGAAGCAAGAGGAAAAAGAAAAGTTAAAGAACAAAAGGAAAAACGAAAGTGGACGAAAAAAGAAAAGGAAACAACATAAAATTTTTAAATTTTAAAAAGAAGATATAAATGAGGTAGTAGACAAAAAAGAAGAAGAGGAATTGGTGAAAAATTTAGAAGAAGAAAACACTAGAACATATAGAACACACCATTAGAAACTATAGAAGAAAGAGCAACAATAAAAGAATTAAAAGAAGAACTAGATTAAGATGAAGCAGCAGACAAAAAGAAGAAGAAGCGCAGCACAAAATTTAGAAAAAGGTAGCATCACTAGAAACTAAGACGCAGGAACTAAGAAAGAAAGAAAAAAATAAGGAAAAGCAGCAGGAGAATTAAAGTTATAGTCATGGAAGAAGTATTGAAAGAAAGTAATGCCGATAAAGCAACAAAAGAAAAAGAAGAAGAAAAAGAGAAACAATAAAAATAAACCGAAGAAAATGAAGAACAAACAAAATAATTTAAAAAGTAAATAGCATTAGTGCAGAAAAAAGAAGGTTATACAAGAGAAACCAACTAAGATACTAAGAAGTAGCAACTAATAAATTAGAAGAAGAGGAAGCTCTCAACAAAAAAAAAATAAAAGCTACAAAAGAAAATAAAGAAGTAAAAGCATCAAAAGAATTTAAAGAAAAAATAGCAACAACAAAAAAAGGAAGAGTAAAAGCATCAAAAGAATTTAAAGATGAAACAGCATCAATAAAAAAAGGAGGAACAGAAAAAAACTAATGAAAAAATAGTAGTTAAAAAATCAGTAGAAAAGAAAGCAGAAAAAGAAACTAAAAACTAAAATCTAAAAACTAAAAACAACAAAAGGAAATAAAGAAGTAAAAGCACCAAAAGAATTTTAAAAAAAAGAGTAAAAGCATCATAAGAATTAAAAGAAGAGAAAGAATCAGTAGGCAATAAGTAGGGGAAGTTGAATGAAGTAAAAAAGAAAAAAGGTGTCAACGAAGAAGCAACCGAATTTAAAGAAGAAAAATAAAGAGAAACGAAAGAATCTAATGAAGAATCAACAGCTTAAACATTATTAGAAGAGGATGCTTCTAACTAAACAAGTTTAAACAGACAGAAATTAAAAGAAGAAAAAGAAATAGGAGAAAAGGAAAAGCAATAGAATTTTAAGAAGATAAAGTATCAAAAAAATTAAGAAATAAATACAAAAGACACTAAAAATGAAGCAGCAACTAAAAAATTGTAGAAAAGGATACAGTGGAACCTCGATTAGGTATATGAATTGTAAATAATTTTATCCAAACTTCAATTATCCGCACTTTTTCATCATCTTAACTCAAAAATTTCATTTTTTACATTTATCAGTATTGAATTTCATAAAAAGAAAGAAATTTTATTAGCTGTCTTCAGTTTTTTTATGCAAAAACCTCACTAAAAGACTAATGTCATTTAATAGTGTAAATTGACTCAAAAAAAAAAATATATCCATAATTATAAAAGAAAATAAACCAGTTTCTATTATTCAAACTTTTGGTTATCCGAAGTAGATCCGAATTAGTTCGGATAATGGAGGTTCCACTAAAAATAATTTAAAAATTTAAAACGAATAGTCAGAAAAAATGTTAATGCAAAAAAGATAAAGAATGCGAAGAAGCAGTAAATGAATATAAAGAAGAAAAACCTTTACCAAACGCAGAAAATGTACAATCAGAAAAAAATTTTTTCTTCGACCGCAAAATTTATTAAGCTAAACCAAATTTTTATTAAAATCAAACAAATATTTATTTAAATTAAAGAAACTGTACTTAAAATGACCCAAAAATAAGCTTTATACAACAAAATATAGTATTTGATTCAAAAATTTTTTATGTAAACAAACAAGTTTTTCTGAGTGTAAAGAAGAAAAAGGTCAATAAAGTTAGTAAGAAGCTTCAAATGTAATATTATTAGTTGAACCAGCAGCAGAAGAAAAAATGGAAAGAAATTTTTGTGTAATTTTTAAGTTAAATTTTTGCTTGGATAAACTAAATATTTCGGATAAAGAAGAAAAAACCCAATATTTCTTGATAGATAAAATATTTTCATATAAATTAATTTTTTTCTTTTCAAATAAAATTTATTCTTTAAAAAATTTAATTTCTCATTCCTTTTGAAAAAGAAAAATCTGATTTTTTGTTTCTTTTTTATTAAGAATTTTGAATAATGACATTCAAGTTACCGCCCAAATGGCAAATGTAATTTGTGTACGATCTCATTTTGAAAGGAAATTATTCCACAGCAAAGAGGAAGTAATGCTAACGGCAAAAACGTATACATATAGCGTTGATAGTAGAACGCGTGCAAAGCAAAACCTTTCTCTGATAATACTTACAACCAAAGAACGTCCTCGACTTTCTCGCCGAGATAAGATCACCGGGTATATGTATTTTAAGAACATGATTTTTTGCAAATAATTGAACTTTTTCAATCAAAGAAAGTTCCTTATTATCATTATTATTAGTCGTGTCATTATTATTTTGACTCGTTATATTATCATTTTTAACAATTTGCACTAAATCAGTGACATTATATTCCGTTGCCATTGATATTGTATCAATAAAATCCTCAAATTTTTCCTGCAAACATGTCACATTAAAATAACTGTCACAAGTTACAGCTTTTTTTCTACGATACATTGGCATCTTTTTTGTTCTCGTTGTTGTTGTTTTGTTCAACTTTGATAATCTTTCAGATTCGGCACGATGTAAATTTTTATCATCAGTGATAATTAATTGTGTAATGTCAATATCGAATTTCGTTGGTTTTCCAGAATAATGATGATTATTGATTTGATAATTTTTTTCATCAATTTTCGTTTCATTCCAATTTGAGATAACTTCGTTTGTGTGAATGAGTTCGTTGTCGTATGTCGTGAGATTGAGTGATCTTCGTGTTTCAACGACCTTGACACCAGTGACCCAGTGTAAAGTCACAAATGTCATGATCACGATCATAAGTACCACACCACTTCTATCCTTGGCCATTCTCGATTCCTTTCTCTCTTCGCACACATATATACACTAACAACACGAGAACAAACTCACGATGGTTCCTTGATCCGGAGGGGCTACAAATGATCCTCGTTTCGGCTGAGTAACTGCATCTCGGTCGACCAACCAAGTTTCTGACACCTGAAAATCAACCGCATGATAAACGAACCATTCACAATTTTTTGTTTTTTTTTTATTCATTTTTTTCTACATCTAAGTGATTCTTTTTTTTCGAAATGGTGATTATTCAATATTTGGATAAAGCATTATTTTCTTGTTTTTTAAACATTTTTTTACTTAGAAAAAATTACTATAATTTGGAATTTTTTCTTCTGTAATTAAATAAAAAAAATAATAAGAGATCATTAATTTTTTATTTATGGGTATGGGACATCGATATTTTTAGCTATATCAAGAAAATAATTTATACATTCCACAAAATTAGTTTTAAGGTAATTTTTTGTGAGTTAAAATAAAATCGGTCACAAATTATGTTACCCCTTTTTGAATTCTTATTGTACCTAAAAGTTCATAGGTTTTGAAATCCGTGTGTGATTTTGTAGAACATATTATGTCTTATAATTTTATATTTTTTAAATATTTTTTATTCTTTATATATAAAAATTATGATCTGAAATTAGATTAAAATAATAAACAAAGGAATTTTCAAATACAGGAATTGAATAATAATAACACTTTCAGCCTAAAAACAAATATTTTTTTTCAAAAGAATCATTTAAAAATTATAAAAATCAATTTTTCCATTTGGCAATTTTTTTATGAATTACACATGAATTTCAAAATCGAAGAACTTTTAGGTATAAAATGAAAATTCCAAAAGGGTCAAAATATTTTCTGAACGATTTTATTTTTTGATTATTGGAATTCCTCATGAAACATTACCTTAACAATAATTTTGTGGAATATTTAAATTATTTCCTTGATATATTTAATTAAAAATAGCTTAAGTACATAAAATAATAAATTATAAAATTTATAACTATTGGATTTTTTCGCTAAATAATAATTTTGAGTTAAATAATTTTTGATTCGCTAATTAACTAAAGAAAATTTAATTACTAGTTTATGATAATTTGTTTAATTATTTTCCCTTTTTAATAAATTTCTTATAGAATTTTTTTCACTAATATAATTAGTAATTATTATTAATTTATTGAATTTTGAATTTGATAATTTTTTAGTTCTTAATTTATAAACAAAATTTAATTAATAGTTTATTATAATAATTTTTTTACACTCCTAAATTTACAATTACTTTCTCTTACTAGAAAAGTTTGGTATTATACTTTTTTAACACGTTTAGTTGTTAAATTGTTTCATTTAAATTTCCTATTAACAATCTTTTTCCCAATCAATTTGTCCCTTTAATTATCTATTCATAATGATTTGTTCATTGACAAATACCGTAATTATAGGCAGATAAAAAATCCTTTCTGATAGTCAAAAATTTTTACCTAAGTATTATGTGTACGGCCCCTAAAGAGCGATAAAATGCAAAAAAAGACTCTATTCTAGATTATTTGTATAAGAATAGTAGGTAGTAAATAGCAATTAACAATTAATCTAATTGTTTAAACAATTTCAAATAGAGTAAAACTTTAAGAATGACCTATTTCTGTACAATATATAAATAAGAAAACATTTTTGTTTTTCCGAATGGACAAAAATATTAATTTAATAGGTAGTATTAAAAATTCATTGTAAAAATTGAAAAAATATATTACACTTTGTTAAATTTATGTAAAATATATTTTTAAATTTGTTTTCCTTTTGAAATAGAATTTGGAAAGCGCTTTGTAAACTTTCCAGAGAACTGTTTAAACATGACCTTTTTTTCTAAGCACGTACTGACATTAGCATTTGGATAATAACATTAAGCTGAAAAAAAGTCTTTATCTTTAAAGAATATTCGGTCAACAATCCAGTCGAAGAGGTTAGAAATTTACTAAAATAGTAAAATTATTTGAACAAAAATACTAATATAAAAAAAATTACAGTTAAAATATACTAAAAAATTTCTACTTTTTTGAACATTTTAATTACCAATTTTATGTACATTTAAAATCACGAATTTAATAACTTGATTAAGATTACTTCTTTTAGATTCAACAAGTGTGAATTTCAGGTTCTTACAAAAATTGGAAAACACATTTCCTTCTCATTTGAAATTCCTCGCATACGAACTTTTTAAATTTGCCTACTAATGATCTTTACCGTCGACCCCAAAGAAAGCTTTACTATAAATATATTTATAAGTAGTACAGGTTAATGTCAATGACAGACTTTGAATATAAATTGTAATATTATTTTCAATATTATATTCACACATTTCCTCAAATTTTATGAGTCATCATTTTATACCTAATTGAAAAGAATTTAGAAAATCGTTCGATAAAATTTTAATCAAGTATGTATTAATGCATTAATAATAATTAAAATAATTTGAATTTATTAATTAATAATTATATTTATTTATAATTTAATAATAATAATAATAATAATTTAGAAAATGAAAAAGTTAAAAATGAATGATATTAAAGATAATTTAATATTTAATCTATATTGTCTTCAAATAATAATAATCAATAACAATTTATTATTTATGTTTATTTATTATTATTTATTGTTATTCATTTCTTTATTAACTTATATTTATCTAGTATCAACGATCTTAAGAACAAAAAACACCCTTTCCTTTTTATTTTCGTTATTATTATTATTATTATTATTATTATTATTTTTATATTTATTCTATTTATCCTATCATCAATATTATTATAATTAATGCTACATTTGAATTTCCGGGAATAATTTAAATATGTTAATAAATAAATTAAATTTTCCTCTAATTGCTCATTTTTCTTGAGTATTATGATAATTTTTATCATAATAGAGAAGCTCGAGCGAATCTCTCGCGTGATATAATAATGAAACAAGTAAAAACGAAATAAAGAAGAAATCTTTAAAGGAATGATGCAAATTACATATTATATTGTTTTGTAAATTACGTAATAGGTACTTTTTTTCTAAAACAAAAATTCTTTTTTAGTAAATTTAAATGTATTTATGTACAATTTTAAGATTGCGGAGATAAATAAGGTCGCATTTTACAGATCGAGGGCACACGTTTTGGGAACTTTTATAAAACCGGCTTTTCGGTCATCTTGGGCCACTTGAGTCAAACTCTCGCTTCTGAACAGTAAAAAAACGAACCATCAAGTTATCATGTCTTCTAATTGTCATTATTGGTGTCATCACGTCAATCTTATATACTCGTAAAAAAAAATTCTCCTTTGCTGATGCGAGAAAAATACCATCTTATTAAAGTTCATTCAACTCTTTTAACGATGATGGGTGTATTGTACATATATATATAAATGTACTCAGAAAATATAGAAATTCCATTTACCGAAAATAATTGAGAACACTAGCTTTCATTTTTAATAATCGACTTTTTATATTTTCTTTTTGTTTTTATTCTCCCTTTCTTCGCACCTTTATTAAATCCAAAAATTACACTACACTCTACATATGAAAAACATATTAAAAAATATTATTCATTTAAAATTTTAAATCATAGCAATAAATAATAATAATTATTATAATAAATTTTTAAAGTATTATATATATATAAAAATATGGAAAAGAAGAAAAGAAAAAATTCTTCATGAAGAAATTATAGTGAGGTACATACATCGTATCAATTTTCCAGTTTAAGATTGAAATAATCAAATTAAAATCTTTGAAAAAATATATATATATTAAAGTTGTAAAAAAATTGTATTACAATAGACCATTCATATTTGCAATGAGTGTTTTGACTGAATAAAAGTTTAATCTTGTGAATTGATCTTAATAAAATATTGTGTGTACACAAAGTGCTAACAAAACGTGCTCTTGAGATAAGAGCAACTTTCTAAACGAATAATAGCCAATCAAAAACAAGTCAACTACCTGTTTTTTTATATGAATTGTATCACTTTTAATTCACACGTATGGAATGTGATTTTTTTGTTTTCAACTCTCACATTCCGGATTAGAGTCGCGATTATTTTTTTTATTATTAACCCCTTAACTGTTTGAGGAAAATACAACATGATTGTCCCAAAATGCCCAGCGGAATTTGATACTTTTTCAAATAGTATAATATATATCTAAATTATAACTAATTATTCAATTATTTTCTAAAATATCATTAATAACCCTTATAATTTCTTATGATATTGATATAAAGAAAAATATCTATCAATTTATATACAAATTATATTTATTTTGAGTGATAGTGAACACGACCCACGGGTGGGTCGGAAACAGTTATGGCCATACTTTTTCACGACCCACCCGTGGGTCGGAAACAGGCAACGGGTTAAAATTGAATTAGTTCCCTCTTTATATTCAAAAGGAATTCAGAAGCTAATTACTAGGAGTTTTTATGGCTATTATTATTATTATTATTATTATTATTTTTCTAATTCTAATTATGATTATTTGAATTATTACTTCCATTTTTGTATTTATTATTATTGACTTTTATTTTATTATTTGAAAAAATTTAGTACTATTATTAATTTACTACTATATTATTTAAATTTAACAAAAAGATTTGTTATTATTTATTGATGTAAACGGTCTTACGGAAAGAAAAATTGTCCTATCGTACTAACTAAATATAAAATGTTAATTACAAATAAACGGCAAAATAATTAAAAAATGTCAATATTATAATAATTATAAACTATTTAATTTATTTATATTTATTCAGAAAACTCGCAGAAAAATTAATTAAATTTACAAATTTAATTTATTAACCTCCCTACGGTTAGCCCCGAGTATACTAGGGGGGGAATCTTTCATTTATTTATTTAAAAAAATTAAATTCGAGAGTCATATAAATAAAACTCTTAGTGTAACTTGAAGCTAAATAGTTGTATTTAATATCAAAATAAATATGAAATAGTCAAAGGTAATTTTAACAAAATTATAAATTTATTTTCTCAAAACTGAAAAATGATAAAACCGTAGGAGGGTTAATAAAATTTCCAAAGTTATTAATAAATTTAATTATATTATAATTTTAACTTATATTAATCATAATTCAAAATAAAAATTTCGCATTACTG